CACACTCAGCTTTTTTTTTTTTTTTTTTTTTTTTTTTTGGTTTTTCTTTTTGTTTTTTTTTTTTTTAGAGATAGGTTCTTACTATGTTGCCCAGGCTGGTCTCCAACTCCTAGCCTCAAGTGATCTGCCCACCTCAGCACCCCAAACTGCTGGGATTACAGATGCGGACCACTGTACCTGTCCTGGAATCTGTTTTTTTTTTTTAATATACATAACTTAGAAGATTAAAAGAATTATTGTGTTCTAGGCATCCACATTCCTGGGAGATGGGAAAGTAGCCTAGAGTCCCATTTCTATTTGATGGATGGAGCCCAGAATAGAAATGGCATTCCCCAGAATAGAATGGCATATTTTGAGACTTTGGCCACACAGAGGAAGTTTCCGGATCTTCTGACACTCTCTGATCCTTCTGGCTGGATCCATTTCCTCCTGGAAGAGCGCACAGAAAGTATGGTCTGGTGGGATCAGAGTCTCAGAACAACTAGCCCACTCCTGGGTGCCCCCATTGCACACTTTCCCGGCAGCCAAGGACATTCTCTTTGGCTTCAGTTTAAGAGCAACACAAGTGGACGACGATGGGTAAACTCTAACACAAAGTATCAACCACTGGCTCTGGAGCTCAGAAAAAAACACCCCATTTAAGTGATTAGGAGAGAGTCAAGGAGTGAAGAGGAAATTGAAACTCTGCAGAGAGAAGGGCCTGCGATTACAGCCCAAGTTGGTCCAGCTCTGCTGACCCTGGCTTTGTCTTTGAAGAACACACGCTTGTGTCTGCCTATTTCATCAGCTGTCCCCCATCTGCCCTTCCCTACCCCACCCTGGGAAGTGGGAGGAGGGTTAAGTTACTGTGAGGCAACCGCTCAAGCAGAGGGCGAGGCTGAGGGAGGCTGTCTCACTCTTTCCAGCCAGGACCCACCCAACAGGCTCTCCTCAAATCCAAGTCCGTGAAGGAAAAGTACTCATCTGCCCCAGGGTCTTCCCCACTGTCCTGACACCACATGGACTCTCTCCTACATCCTCATGGCCATGTGTGGGGTGATGTGCAGCACCTCTGAACCTGTTTCGGCCAGGGTGGCCCCCAGAATCTCAGAATGTTAGAATTGGAAGATCTCAGAGGGCATCTAAAGCAACATTCCCATTTTACAGGTGATAAAACTGAGGCCAAGAGAAGTAAAGTGACTGGCCAAAGGGCCACAGCTAGATTGCATCAGCATGCTGAGACTACGTGTTCAGACGTGGCCAATCTTCGTGTAGAAGACAGCACCAGAGAGAAGTGTTCAGTGTCTGTGAAGTCATAGAGGCTTGACAGTGAGATGCTTAGGAGACTCTAAGAAGTTGAAATACATTTGGAACATATGCAGAAGAATCTTCCATCCAAGTCTGGGAGGAAAGCAGGCCAATTTCAGGCTGAGATGCGACAGGACCTGACTGCGGGGGGTGGCGGGGAGAGGGCTGATCCTGGAGCAATCCAGGAATCCTAATCTATGCCTGGGTGGTCCTAAGGTTTTCAAGCCCCCTGGGATCCTGGGAAGTTCCAAAACCGCTAGGGAGGTCAGCAGGTTCCAGGTTGAACTCAATTACCAGGGACACTTTTGGGTGCTCAGAATGGGTCAAGAAAGCAGCCATCAGCAGAAGGTGTTAACATGGGACTCCAGGGAACTAGGTTGAAACAATGTGTATTGATTTAAAAGGCATAGAAGCCATAACTCCACACAACTTTACATGCATATTCTTATTAGCATGTAGTTCCACTGATCATCTAAGGGTGGCCAGCTTCCCCAGGTCACTTGCAGCTAAGAAATGCAGCCTCAGTGACCTTCAACTGAGGAGGAGTTGACATTGGCTTCCGGTCTTCCCCGAGCCCTCGTTTAAGAACCACCTTCTTTGGCTTTTCACCCGAGGGTTGCTGGGGGAACCTGATGTCCTACACTTTCGGGCTTTACCTGGCTTCTGAAAACCTTGTGCTGAAAGTCTCTCTGAGAGTAATACACATTGAACAGACACTCAGGCTCTTTGACATGTGTGGTTTTGCCAAAGGCAACATGTTCTTTGACGAACTTCTGAAACTCCCCAGTTCTCATAGTCCCTCTGGACTTGAGTATCAGCTTCTGGGTGATTAAAATTCTCCTGCTGGGCGCAGTGGCTCATGCCTGTAATCCCAGCACATTGGGAGGCCAAGGCAGGCAAATCACAAGGTCAGGAGTTTGAGACCAGCCTGGCCAACATGGTGAAACCCTGTCTCTACTAAAAACACAAAAAATTAGCTGGTCCTCGTGGTGGGTGACTGTAATCCCAGCTACTTACTCAGGAGGCTGAGGCAGGAGAATCGCTTGAACCTGGGAGGTGAAGCTTGCAATGAGCCGAGATCACACAGCAGCCCTGGTGACAGTGTGAGACTCTGTCTCAAAAAAAAAAAAAAAAAAAAAAAATTCTTCTAACCACCTTTCTGATTCAGGGCTCTACTTTGACAGCACAATTGCTTTTTTGAATTTTTGTAAACATCTCAAAGGGGCAAGAAACATTCTTCCTTCCTTTTAGCCCAGGGTAGACCTGAGGTTTTTCAGCTGTCAGCTGAATGCTGGGCTCCACCAGTGTCCAGTAAGTACAGTCCCATCCTCTGTGGGGTGGGCTCCAGGGAGGTCCCCTGGGTCCATGTGAAGCCAGTAGGATGGGGCTTCAGTGTGTCTGAAGGGCTCCCCATGAGGCCACCAAGCCCCTGTCAGACCTAGTAAGTCACCCTGACTCCAGCCCCACCCTTCCGCAGAAGAACCGTGAATAAACAAGAGCATGTGAATTGGGCAACCCCAGATGCAGGTGCAGAGAATGTTCTCAGGCTCACAGAGGGGACAGAGAGGGGCTGGCAGAGCCACAGTGGGGAGGCAGGTGAAGGAACCAGTGAGAGAGCTCATGTGGAGGGCCCCAGACAGTGGAGGAGGGTCCAAACAACATTTTCTATTCTTTGCCCAGTAAAGTTTCATGAATCAACTCAAATCTTTGCTTCCTTTCACCTTCTGGCCCTAAGGAAGAAGGCGGGTCCAAGGATTTGGACTCTGGGGGCTCTCCATTTCTAAGTCTGGAAAAAGTCAAAATGAGCCATCATACTCTGTCTTCATTCCATCCTTGGCCCAGACAACATATTATTCCAAAGGAGAGCTGAATAACAGAATCTAAAGGAAAATTAGAGGTGGGAACATTTAGTCATCATCCTCATTTTACAGGTGAGAAAACTGAGGCCCAGGGAGATTAAACATTAAATAATGTGCTCCAAATCACTCAACCAATAATTGCAGAACTGGCGGGACTAGAACTCTGTCTCCTAATTCTCAGTTCACGCATTTTTTTTTT